GCAGGAGTCATGGTGCTGGTGCCTGGAAGCTTTTGAAGCCCTTTGTCATTTTCCCTGGAGGGGAGAAGGAGTCTGTAACACATCCAGACCCAGAATCTTTGCATTTCCACAGCTACCTGTGGAAGGAGCCCCATTTTTTCAAGGGATTTTGTTACCAGGACCTAACAATACAACCAATTGTTCACGTTTCTGCCCAGCACACTAAAATACTGACATGGGACCTGTGAACCCTTCAACACTTTTGCAGGAATTGATGAGTAAATGATTAGAAAAATTTCAAGTCTACATGACTTGGTAGATTTAGCTTTCTTCTTAAAGAAGAGGGTGATGTTGAAGGTCAAGGCATGAATGCTGTTTGAGATTTAATGAAATGAGTAGATAACTACTTGAGAAGTTCTGATGATCATTGCCAGCATTTGTAGCTATAGATCAGTAAAATGAATCTGTCCACCTGTGCCTTATGGTTGATTCATTCCTAGTGAGAGAGTTCTCAGCCACATGGATTATATGAAATCAAAGCAAAGGAATGATATTTGGCAGGTTGAGAATTGGAAAAAAGGGCTACATTCTCTATGTCCTTGTATGTACCCATAACATCCCTGACTACAGTGCTGAGCAGGAGGATTCTTTGCTCAAGGACACAGCTGAAAACAGGCATTCCCTTAGGTGACAGCAGAACCCCTGTGGCTGGGGCTGGGTGGTTTGCAGACAACACCAGCAGACAGAACATTTGCACAGCAGCTGAACTTTGAACTGTTCAAGCTGTTCCTTGGAGCCCTGGTTCATTGTTCCACCTCTGACTGCAGTGACTGCATTGCTTCCTGGGCAGACAGGCTTGTACCCAGGTTTTCCCAGTTTCTTCTTCTGTTCTTTTCTTAGGCTTTTTTTTCCCCCCCATGTTTCTGTTCCTGTCTCAAGTTCCCAGGACCAGGCTGCCTGCAGACTGACAGTGCTGTGTGAGTTGTGCACGAGTGACATTTCCATGTGCTCCTCTCTGCTCCCAACACAAGGGGTGGGAAGAAAAATCCCAGGCTAAGATCATGCAGGTCAGAATGTGTCTGTAAAGTTAGAATTCACAAGCAGAACATGAAATAGGAATTGACCTTCCTACTTTTGCTCTGCCTGCTCCTCCTTTGCAGGGAATGTGAGACTCGTGTTTGCAGGCACGTGTGTGATAGTCAGAGCATCCCCCTCTTCCCTGGTGCTCATTGTCTTCCTCATTCCCTTCTTGCCATTTTGATCTTAGACTCATGAAACAGTTTGGGTGAAAAGGAACCTTTAAAGGTCATCCAATCCACCTCCCCTGCACTGAGCAGGGACATCTGCAGCTAGAGCAGCTCAGAGCCCCACCCAACCTCCCCTGGAATGGTTCCAGGGATGGGGCAGCGACCACCTCTCTGGGCAACCTGAACCAGGGGCTCACCACCCTCAGTGTCAAAAATTTCTTCCTTTTATCCAGTCTAAATCTTCCTCTTTTCATTTCAATCCATCACCCTTTGTCCTGTCACAACAGCCCGTGCTAAAAATACAGCCTCCATCTTTCTGACTGGCCTTGTCCCAGCCTTCAATTGGGAAAACAAGACTCCTGGGTTTATTCCTCCTTGACCTTTGTCATAATTCCTAGATCTGTCTGGCAGCTTGAATGTGTCTGGCAGTTTCAATTACAGAAGGATTTTTGCTTGCCTTCCTCACCTGCTCCCTCTCCTTTTTGATGGAAGAGGCTGCCAGCGTGTGTTCGATAGCAGGGC